GGATGTTTTTTGCATGAATACTTTATTCTAGATCCTACCCAAATTTCTCTTGCAAAATGTCACTTATACAAAAGTATAATGTAATCTTGTACTTTAATGCTGAACAGTGAAATTATATAAAACTTTAATGGGATTCCAATAATCAAGGGTTACTTGCATGTGCCCCAACACCTCGTGCTGGCAAGAATTTTTCCTGCCATTGAATAGTGTTTTTGACTGATTTGTAAACCCCCAAAATATTTACAACAATGAAAAAGATGCATCAATAACTTGAAATAGCTTATTTCTTGTCATCTGATATCTGAATATATTCCTTGAGGTAAAACAGAACCTGTGGCTAATATTTAGCAAGCGTTCTTGTAGTTAAATAGCTTAGATCTTTTTGCACTCTCCAAGCAGCTCAGCCTGTCAACAGTGCGCTATGACCTCCCCTTTTTGGGCACGTCTAGATGTTTGGTTCCCTGGGAACAAGTAGCAGTGGTGCATCTTGCCCCGGGGGTAGTAGGGGAGCCTGGGGACAGCACTGTGCTGGCCCTAGTAGCCTTACCTGGAGTCCTGAAGGCTCCCCAGCGCTGCAGCCGCAGCAATCCTGCTAGGCGGAGGCTGGCCGGCTCTGCTTTTCAGAAGCACGCGCTGCCCGAGTGTGTACTGCTCCATTTTTGGGGTTTTGTGTCCCTCACAGGTTGTTTTTTGACCTCTTGCATAGTACAGTAGGAGGGGGATGCCTGCATCGTATGCAGCCCAGGAGGCCTGTGGCACACCCTAGTGCAGCCTGTGGATGTGTAACCCTTGCTGGTGCCTGCTGCAGGATATTTGGTCCCTGGATACTTAGAAGTTGGAAAGTCCTGCTCTATAGCTTATCATCCTGTCTACTAAATGAATCAATAAGACTTAAACCTCCAAAGCTGTCAATTGGCATCTTTCATTATTACCAATAAAACTTGCACATAACTTGAATGTTATACTTCCTATAGTTTCAAACAGGTAACAGGCAGTGATTTACAACTTAACAAATAATAGCATGTTTGGTCAATTACTTTACAGGACACGGATGTAGGGATGCTATTCCTCCTTTATTTTGACTATCACCGTTTCAACACCGACAATAATTTCCACATTGATGGAAATAATCCTTTCCCTAAATATATCAAGGCACTCATTCTAGCACTTTGAAGATAAGTCATACTGACAAAAGTTAAATGCAAGAAAAAGGCTAAGTACAGACATTCCAAAAGCCCAAGCCTGAATTGATTCACTCTTTGCAGGTCAGTCTAACCTGTGTAGATTGAACTGAGAAGCAAGGGAATAGACATTCACTTTTGATTTTGGAAATGCAGACACATGCCTGCAGTGGCTCAGGCTAGAAGCCAGGGGGCTAAAGCAAGCCCTCCCTTTCCTTAGGCAGTGGCTGAAAGGCTGGAGGGTGGGGGGCGGGCGGGACTAGGGTGGCAAGGCCCCTGCAGGCCATTGAGTATGGCTGGGGAGGGGTTAAAGATGATAAACCTGGACAGTATTGCCAACCCTCATGATTTTTGGTGGTGTTCTTGAAGTCTACACTTTGGGAATGTGAAAAACTTACAGAGGTAAGTCTGTGGGGGACGGGGAGGGGACTGGGGCTGGGGCAGGCCCTGCACAGCCTGGGCAAGGCGGGGCATGGGACGGAGCTGCAAGTGGCTTGTCCAGGGGGCATGGGGAGGAAATGGTGGTTCCCATTGCTGCACATGCCCCAGGAGGCAGGGGTGGGGATGTGCCTCCTGATCTGCATATCAATACCACAGCTGTAATTATGGCATCCTCTGCTGTCTCTGTCTTGCCTGTGCTCCTACCTATTGCACCAAGCACAAGATTTAATTTTTACTGAACAAGTTAATAACTTCCCATTTGTAGACAACACTTTGAAGCAGGTTAAATGCCTTTTACATTGCTGTTTGCACATTTGGTGGCATATTCCACATTAATTCCAGCCGCTGTAGCACTTTTTGTGGAATAATGTGCCTTAAATTACTTTGGGATGCAGCAAACGACTTTGGGGCACTGCAAAGTAAAACATCTCTGAGGAGTTTTAGTTTCTAAACCCTACAGCCATGGAGGGAAGCACTGGGCCCCATGCAACTTGGGGGCTCTGCAGGCAGCCCAGCAGCAGCCCAGGAAGGCAGGCTCCACAGAAGGGGAAAAAAAAGCCTGATCTTTTATTTATTTTTTTCCCCCACTGGAGCCTGCCTGCCTGAGCTGTGCGGGGGCCCGGTGCTTCCCTCCACAGCTGTAGTGCCCCCTGGGACTACCTGGGCTGGGTATTTTGCAGGAGGGTGCTGCCTGGGGGGTGCTGCCAACGCTGTGGAGGGAAAAACCAGTTTCCCCCCTGCAGCTCAGGGACTGCTCTGCCCGCCAGCAGCTCACTCTCCTCTCCCTGCCGCTGGAGAGGCAGGTAAGGATCAGACTCTGACACAGGTGTACATGACATAGGGATTTACTTTGCCCTAAATTGAAGCGGTGTTTTTAAAAAATAATACCGCTTCAATGTAGGGAGAATTAAACCCACGTGCCACATATAAACTGCCCTTTATGAGCAAAGATTGCCTTCACTGACACATGATCATGAAGGATCTGTAACCTTTTCGCTAATGTGCACATAATATTAAATAACTGGCTGGCTCTATAATAGTGAAGCATTGGCTTTCCTATAAAGCAATGGTGCTCAACCTTGTGGCCCCATGGGCCAGCTAGGTGGTGTGTGGGGTCAGTCCATGGGCCAGATCAGTCCCTGCATAGCCTCCACCTGCCCCTGCATGCCCAAATTGGCATAATATATATACCAATAATGCTACCTATACACGTGCCTACAATGCTGCTACTACTCCCCCACTGCCAAATTTTTGGGCCCATGAGGAGTCCCGTGGGTCAGATGACATTGCTCCAGAGGCCATATTTGGCCCCTGGGCTGAGAATTGTAGGTCACTCCTTGAGGCACAACACTAAATGCGAAGCAGTTGTCGCCTCTGAGTGGCAAACAGTGTGTTCTCTGAAGGGTCCTTGAACCCTATGAATTGTCACTACCTAATGAAGTTGTTTTAAAATAAAGGGATGGAGATCCAAAGGCTCACGTCCTTTTGCTCTTAAAGCAAGTGCTCTTCCAGCTACCTGTGTGTGTGGCCTTTAGACACTTTACGTCAAAATGATTGAGGTTACCATGCCATGTTGAGGGAAAACTGTCTTGCCCTCAAAAGAGAGAGCAGAGGAATGGAAAGGAGAAGAATCCCAGCCTACTGTCTCATACAGAAAGCCCCACATCTTCTGCAGCCTGGTCTGTAGTTCAAAAATTGCAGTCCTTGGGCATTTTTCATACGCTCCAGGGCTGGGATGCTTTAATTAAAGCGCCTCTGACATCCCCATACTTCAAAATGGCAGGGAGGTGCTTTAACTAAAGCTCATTGAAGGAGCTGTAGCTAAAGTACTCCCACCCCCCCACTCCCATTTTGGAGCACAGGGATGCTGATGCACAAGACTGTTGGAGGTGCACTAATTACCATGCTCCAGCAGCCGGATTAATTGAGTCTGCCTCCACTACAGGCAGTCCTTGGACTTAAGAAGCGGTTTTCAGGAACCAATTGTGTCATAAGTCAAAACACTGCAACTTAGAACCGATTTTCCCATAGGATTGGTTTCTGAACCAAGGCCTGAGGCCCTATTTTCACCAAAAATAACCCAGAATGTTGTACGCAATCAATTATGGATGAGTAGTATACCTACATTAATGTATGTATATTTTAAATAACAATCATACTGATTTGGAAGGACTGCTTTGAGATGACTTTGCTGGACTTTTTGAAGGGCTCTTGGCTGCAGCTTTTTCTGGAGTCTTGTCTGCTTTCTTAGTGTCCAAGGAAGTTTGGACAGATGTTCACCAGGGAGACAGGTGATGCAGCAAATGTTCGCTGGCGTGGCGCTGCATCAGATCAAGTGTTGTAAAGTTGAAACTGACATCAGAAAGTCAAAACAAGGTGTCAATTTGTAAGTGTCCTCACTACCATTCGCTGCAACTCAAGATGTTCTAAGTCGAAGCTTGTCTGTATTGTACTTACAGCGCAGGGGATCAGTCTCCCCCATACACCTCAAGCCGCGTCCCTGAGCAGTAACAGCACCAAGCCCGTGGGGGTACTGCCGCCAGGGGCACAAGCCCCTGCCAAGGGCATGTTAATTAGCCCTGTCCTATCCCCGCCCCGAGTCCAGACAGGCAGCCTGTAGCGGGACAAAGGAGAGCGGGGACCCCCTTAAGCACACCTTGCCAGGAGCTCACGGCAAGGCCCAGCAGCGGCTGCCCGCGCGAGGCCGACCCAGTCCGCCGCCGCCTGCAGAGGGGGCCCGGGTGAATTGGCGGGAGGGGCGGGGCGAGGGCCCGGCTCCCCTCCGCCCCGCCCCGCCCCGCCCCGCTCCATTGGCTACCCGTCGTCACGTGCTTGGGGAGCAGACGAGAGGCGCTGGGGCAGCTGTGCTAGTTCTCTCAGTCGGAGCTGCGGGGTGGTAGGTGTGCGGGGCGTCTGTGGTTTTGTGTCGTGTGGCTGCGCGGCCCGTCCACGTTCACGTCCCAGGCTTCTGCGGAGCCGGGCAGCAGTCGGGGAGCTCGGCGCTCCTCACGCTGGCGGGGGGTGGGGGAGCCGGCTGAGGGGGTCGCTCCTGGTCAGCGTTGTTATGGCACCGCCTGTCGCTAAAGGGGGCGGCGTCAGCTGCCACCTCGAGGTCTCATCGCTCGGCCTGAGGGCCCTTCTCTGCGCGTCCGGGGCGGGCCCGATTTCGCCACGGGAAGCACGCCCTGGAGCGCCCCTCCCCCCAGCGAGCCGTGATGGGCCTGGTCCTGCCCTGCTACCAGTAAAGATTCAGACGCCCGGTTACACTTCGGCTCCACAGCTGTAATCTTGGGGTGGGGCTGGAAGTTTAAAGAATGTACCTGAGTCCTTTCCCAGCTGTGTTTCTGGATTGGTAAACAGGCAGCACAAAGAGCAGTTCACTCCGATTTAAAATTATTGGGAAGTGATTGGTTGCTAAAGGAAAAGATGTTTGACTCTGTTATGGTCTGTTAAATGCTGCTTCTCGACAGGCCAGAGCTCCCTGTTGCAGCTATAACAAATGTCAGGGAAGAAACATGGACTGGCAGGGACATGAGAAGTCACAGCTACTTAACCTTGAAATACTTGGTAAAATTGTGGTTGTGTTCCTCTTCTTTCATATCAGCAGTTCAGTTGGAACTAGTAAGGCCGCTTGCACGAACAAAGACTGCCTGTGTGATCTGGATCCTGAGAAACAGAACATCTGTGACCAGAGTTAGTTGTATTGGGCACCTGCACACGTGCATGGAGCCTGCCCTGATGCTTTGCATGGGAGCAGACTCAATTAATTGAGACTACTGGAGCAAGGAAATCAACATGCTCCAGCAGACTCTGGCATCACTTGTATCAGTATCCCTGTGCTGAAAAAATGGTGATGGGGAGCTTTAAAGCTCATTCAGCCAGTTTTAGTTCCGAATGCCCTGCCACCATTTTTCAGCACGGGATGCTAATGCACATGATGCTGCAGGCATGTTAATTAGCACAGCTGTCAGAGCTTTGCTAATTAAAGCTCCCCCCACACCTCCCAGAGCACATGTATAAATGCCTACATGGTGCCTACAAATGAGTGTGGGGGCTGCTCCAATGTACTGGAATTTCAGTGTATTGGAGTACTCGATTAACCAAGTCTGCTGAAGCCTGGCAATTGCTACACTCCGGCAGCCTCCTGTGTCTCCTGTATCAGTGTCCCCATGCTTAAAAATGGTGGTGGTGGCCCTTGAACTAAAGCTCATTGGACGACGATAGATCATTTTTAAGCGTGGGGATGCTGATACAGGCAGCTCTTAGGAAATCAAAATCTAGTCATTTATGACTTGATCCATGTATTTGCTTTAATCCTGATGTCAAAAGAAGTGTTGCTTGGATTAAGTAAGATTTAGTGATGTTTTTGAACTGCATCTTGTATCTGGCAACTTTGGACTTTACATACACAAATCTCTGTGTTCTTGGCCAGTAATTCTAACCAAATGGCATAATGGGATAAACTGATACCGTTGAAAACATATGAATGATTTATTTTCTTAAAGTGAAAATAACAGTTATTTAGACAAACGGGGAGATTAATTTGATGTGGGAATAAGTTATATACTTGACGCTAAACCAGTATTTTTATTTACTTATTTATTTAATTACACTTGTGGATATTTTTTTTAGTGATACAAGATGCACCTTCCTTTGGTACTGTGCACAGCTCTGCTGATAGGAAGTGGCAGTGCTCAGGATGATGATTGGATTGACCCCACAGATATGCTCAATTACGATGCAGCTTCAATGAGCATGCGAAGACCTAACAAGGCAAGTGCAAAAAAGGGAAAAAATGTGTGTGCGTAAAACAATAAACATGTTGAAAGAATAAAGTTAGGAAATGAAAAATTAAAGTTTTCTCTAGAATCTTAACTTTTCCTCTTTGTATGAAATTTCATCTTCATACAGTCTTCAATTACATGTTCATATTCTATTTTTATCCTGGACCCCTACCTCATTCTAAGCTCAAAATGGACCTTCCCTGTGGTTGAATCAGGGCTGTATGGTGTAAAAACCTGTTTTGCGTTGGGCCTTTCCTTTATTATTTTGCAGAAGGTGGAAGTCATAGAGTGAATGTGAGGCATAGTCTCATGGTTAAAGTAGTTGAATTGTATCCTGGAGAGCTGCCTTCTAAGCCTCTCTCTCCCAGAGCATCCCTAGGTGATATAGACCTGGGGTGGCCAACCTGTGCCATGTGTGCCCTAAAGTGACATGGGCAGCCTCTGTGTGTATGAGATGGGGAGGAGACAGCACAGTGTCACATACAGCATGGAGCAGAAAGCAATGCGTCGGATCTAGCAGGGAGTACAGGGGAATGAGCAG